AGAAATGGACAACCATATTGGTCTAGAAATGTTAATTTATTTTTATTTTTATTTTTATTTTTTCCATGTGTACAGGGGTAACACATCGTACTAAATATGTAAGGTCATATCTACGTGGGTTTGATTACAGAAACTAATAAAGTATTCTGTAAATAGTGAAAAAAGAATAAGATAAGACTATAAGAGGGAGAAGCAATTTAAATATGTTCAGGGACCATTTCCATCTCCAAAATTAAGGATTATTTTGATGTTACGTCATTGCCTTTTCTCTTTTATTTTCCTTTTTAGTTTTATTTTAGGATTCCCTATTTTTAATGTTCATGCAGAGATTTCTTTAACTGAAATGCTGAATAGTTTCTTTGGTGTGAAAAACTATAATAGTACACAGGATCCTAATGAGACAATTAATAATGTGAAATAGGAAGTAAAGGGCTAAAGGTGTAAGGAAAGTGGGAAGGGTGGGGGAAAGGTAATAAGGGAGAGGAAAAAAATATGAGAAACTGAAAAAATGGAAATAAAGTGTTTGTAAATGGGGAGGGGAGGAGGGGGTGAAGGGAGGGCAGGGACAAGGGGAAAAATGAGAATCAAGACCTATTATGTAAAGGTACAGAATCCCAATGATGAATGTAATTGTATTGTATACCTAGATTGTACCAATAACCTCAATAAAAAGAAAAAACAAAACAAACACACACTGGAGGAAGACATAAGAGTTAGGGTTTCTTTAGACCTGCTTATATAAATATACAAGTAGATTCCCTACTTGATATAGACTCATCAGTACCCAGTGAAATGCCCAAACTCACATATTGAATGAATTTGATTTGAATGAATTTGATTTAATGGATTTGGCTTTGAGTTATTCAAATCTAAAGGTATTCAGTAATGAGCAGAAATGCTAGAATCACGGCCATGTCCTTCAGAATCTACAGTCATTGTCCTTCTGGCAATACTGTGAGCATTTGTTCATCTTCTTCCACTGTCTCTGTGAGAGACAAGGATAAGACTTGTGACTGAATTTAAAAGTCAAGCTGCTCCACTGTGTCCTATCTGATGGAAGCATGGGCTAGGAAGATTAAAACTCAGCTACGCCTGCACAGTAGTGCATACCTGTAATCCCAGGCCATGGCAGGAAGATCTCAAGTTTAAAGCCAGACTGGGCAATTTAGTGAGGCCCCATCTCAAAATTTTAAAAAGAGTAGGGATTTAGCTTAGTGGCAGGGCACTCCTGGGTTTGATCCCCAGTACTGGGAAAAAAATATCCCTCTCACTTTACTGTAAATCTTGATGCTGTTCATGATGGCATGCTACCTATCTGGGCCCTGACCTCCACTATCAGAACTGAGCAGATAGAAATTCATGGCAGTCAAGTCTGTGCTTACAAGATCCAGTCAGTGTCACTATGGAAACCTCTTCCTGCGTCGGTGGCCCCATTGCAGAAAGAACCCTACAACAAAGGCTACATTGCCATGACTAGGGCCCTGCACTGAGAAGATACGTAGTTCCCAAACATTGTGGGTGTCTTAGTCACTTTTTCATCATTGGAACATAATAGCTGACACCTACAACTTAAAGAAGAAGAGGTTTATTTGGGTTCGCAGTTTCAGTCCATGGTCAGCTGGCTCCAAGGCCAAAACTAGCATGGCAGAAGGACCTAGTGGAGGATAGCTACTCAACCCATGGCAACCAGGAGCCACAGAGGGAGAGAAGAGAGGATCTGAGGACAAGAATACACCCTTTCAGGTCACGTGCCCAGTGACCTGCCTCCAGCCAGGCAGCTCGTTCAGCTATCAGCTCATCCATGGATGAACCCAGATGAGCATAGTGCTCCCACGATCCAGTTACCTTTCACATATGAGGCTTGGGGGCACATTTTAGATCTAAACTATAGCAAAAGGGGACTCATTGTCTGGGATTCTATGGTGAGGCTGTGGTCTAAACATTGCAGACTTTGGGTACCAATATTACACACACACACACACACACACACACACACACACTTCAACATAGCAGGCCATCCTTAGACTACTGGATTGAGACTTGATCATCTGCACTATGTTTCTTTACAACCAAAGGAAAGGCCTGAGTGTACCTCTCTGCAGAGAGTGTGAAGGAAAATTCAAGAATTGCTGAACTGCCTCAAGAAGAAGTGGCAATGCTGTGACATCCAACAGAGCTGGTGAGCCTGAGGCCGGTGCTATGAGAGCCCTAGGGTGGCTTCTGGGGCAGCTCTGTCCACAGTCTAAAAAGCACACAGGTGAGGCCCAGCACTGCCACCTCCCCGCTACCACCTGCACCATCCGTGGCTTCTGGACAGGGCAGCTGCAATGCCCAGGAAAGCCATCTGGCGAGGTTGTGCATGTGAGCACTTGTATGTGGCTTTCAGAGAGAAAATGTTCCTGCCCCTAGGGCTAGAAAATGCAACCTGGGCAACCTGAAGCATTTCCCCTGGAAGCATCTCCCCTGAAAATGCTTCTGGAGCATGAGAAGGCAATGCGTGAGGTCAAGTTTGCAGGTAGACTGCTGTAGCTTGCTTAATCACTCAACCAAAAAACATTCGCTAGTCCCAGGTAACTGAGGTGGGTGTTTCTCAGATTACCACCGTCAAAGCCTCCAACCAACCTACCTCACATAAACACAATACTATTAACCCTTGATCTGAGCAATTGTTATCTAAAGGATTAAAAAACTAACATTTTAAGGAAACAAATTCTTCTCTTGGACTGATCTGTTACCTGCACAGAAAGTAAGGGCAGCATGCTTCTTCTGCAAATCCAGCCTCAGTATCAGACTCAGTCCCCTCAGAAGGGCCCCTCATTTCCCTTTAGGAATAATGTTCTCCCTGTCATGCAAGGAGGGGGTAATAAAGCAGATACTAATAAAGAAGCAGAGTTAAGTGGCTTCCTTTCAGCAAGACCAGCAGAGACAGAGCCCATCCTGGCCCTGAGATCCAGAGCTTATTGATTTGTACTGCTACACTGGCTCTTTGCTGGCCACCACCACCAGGACAGCAGCACGAAGGCCCACACATCCTTTAGTACTCAGTACCCCAGAGCAACACTGTCCTTCCAGAAGCAGAGGAGGCTTTCAGCTTCTGAAGGGAGGTGAACACGAACCTTCAGCTTGGGAAATGGTGAGCTCTATGTGGTCCAGAGAATTCTGAATCATTCTGACTGCCATGTTGAATGTGAAGCCCTCCAGGCTGATGTGGTTCAAGGCAAGGATCTGTCCTCCTAGAAAAAGGAAATGTCTCAGAAGTCCCATCAAGGAAAAAGGAAAGTATGCATCCTGAAAACAGTATCTCTGGACCCAAAAATGTACCTGGTTTGATGGTCTTAGTTTTTGCTGCTGGTCCTCCAGGTATAATAGAAGATATAAAAATACCAGGGTTCATTTGGCCTACATCTTCTCCATCATTAATGGCAAAACCTGCAATCCAAGAAGATATTTTAATGACTTAGTAGCACAGAAGTTAGTTTGTTTGCTTGGGCTCACATGACTGCCAGGTGGCACAGCTAATATTTGGACCTGGGTGCAGCACAAGGGGAAGAGGATTCCCTCCTTTCAGATATCACAGCTGAAGCTGGAAACACAGCTCATCAATGTTCACTGGATTTGATCCCGGAGATAACTGGAGACAAGATGCAGATGATTTCTAATCAAGCACCCTGTCTCTGGACCTTGTTCTTATATGGTTTTAAGGGTCTTATAATAGGACTGATAACAAAAAGTAAGAAAGATTGGTTATTCCTCCCCACCTTTACAAATCTATGTATACTAGAGAAAGGCTATGGCACAGCATAAGGGGAAATCTTTTTCTGTCCTGTGCTTAGATGCACCCTGAAGATACTTCAGACAAGGAAATTTTTGATCCCAAAGTCCCATTGCTCTTTAGGGGCTCTATGAGGTAGGAAAAGGCAGAAGTGATCACTGACAAAGGCAAACTGGGAGAGGAGAGGCAGGAGGAGAAGAGTCAGAAGGAGAGAGCTGCACACAGCTGTCCCACTGCCAGGTGGGAAGGGCTGGGCTCCCCCACAGGGACACTTACCAAAGCCGCAGTGTGTGTCACGCTTCAGCACCACGTGCACGAGTTCCTGACCCGGCTGAGCAGTGAAGGGCTCTCTCCTGTTATCCTGTGGCCCTGGAAGGGGAAGGGGAAGGGGAATCACACCATCATGTTGCGTCCCACCATCCCAAAAATAGAATAGGAGGAAAACGGATTACACACACACACACACACACACACACACACACACACACTCACGTCTGAAAGCAAAAGTAGCTCCCCTTTAATCTACCACACTGGGAAGTGATGAATCACTGTGCCTCACAGGTCAGGGTGGTCAAGTTCAGCTGTATGAGCAGAGGCTGGGTGGGTTGGGCTGTGGATCTGTTTCTGCATGACTTACTCGAGCTTATTCTTTCTGCCTTGGGACTTAATTGCTGACAGTGATTGCATAAAACCAAAACTCAGCAAAGAGGCAGTACAGCCTTCTCTTGGGCTTTGCTGCATCTAGGACCTGAGTGTCTCCCAAGGGCCCATGTGGCAGAGGCTTGGTCCCCACATTCCCCAGTGAACTCCTGTGGGGTAGGGGAATCTCTACAAGGTTTTGCCTAGTGGAAGGAAGTGGGGTCATTCTGGGGGATTCCCTTGGAGGGAATATGAGGTCCCCTGCCCTTTTCTCTTTCACTCTTTTCTTCCTGGCCACCATGAGGTGAACAGGCCTCCTCCACCAGGATATTTTATGTCACTGTAAGAACAAAGCAACAGGACCAAGTAACTGTGGACTACAACCTCTGTGACTATGGGCCAAAGTAGTCTTTATAAGCTGGTCTATCTCAGGTATCTGTTAGTATGATGGAAAGTCAGCTAACACAGGCCTCTAGCAGCCAGAGGGACTGGTGGCCCTGCCCCAGTGCCCAGGAGTGCTTTCCCAGCTTGTGTCCTGGAGGAAGCCCAAAGCAGAGCTCTATGGTCATTCTCTGCCAGCTAGAGCTCTGGGTAGTGCACCCTATGCTTGTCACATGGGAAACCCCCAGTGGTGACACACCACAACAGTTGTCTCACATCTCTCCCTCCCCATGGGAGCATGGTGGGGCCTGGCAGAGTCAACAGAGGAGAGAGGTCCAGGGCTGTTCTAGATCCAGCTCCTGGGCTTCATGCATAAGACTCCCCCTAGGTGTGGAATCTCTGCCTCCATCCAGCTGGGAACTTGCAGGAAAAGTTTACCTGCCTTGCAGTGTTCTAGAAACAAGCACCTTGGTGTATTTTTCTGAACATGCCACTCCATTTTGGTCCTACTCCTCAGGCTGGACCAGAGCACAGGAAAGTGCTTCACTAATACTAATACACTTCCAATCCATGCACCGAACCAAAGCCAGATATGGATCCAGAGAGCTCTTCCATTCATTAGCAGTTTGGGAAATAATTTTTTGGGGGAAGGATAATTTAAGAAAAACAGATCATAAATATTGAGAAGCAAAATGAAATAGTAGCAAGATTGAAAGCAGGCATCACAGGTAAGGCTTCCTTCACCCCAACATGGCCATGGCCTAGTCCTTACCTGGGCACATGCTCTGAACAAGTACTTATCTAGGTACATGCTTTGAACAGGTGGCTGCAAGAGAAGGTCCCAGGTCATTGGTTTCTGGATTGAACAGGCACTGTCCTGCTGCTCCTGGCCAGTGTAGGGGCTGTGGGGAAAAGGACAAAGTGAGAGGAGGTGTCCCTCAAGGCAATTCCTTGTGTTTCTGAGTATGGGCAGTGGCCTGGGGAAGGCAACCTTGGGCCAGCTATTTGGCAGATCCATGGACAGACCCCACAGAAGGCTCATGTGGCTATTAGGATCCAGAAGAGCTTCTGCCTGTGAAGCCATGTAGACCTCATATGAAACTCCCACTTTCCACCTTTGGGTTGGATATGCAGCTGTGGAAGACTCCACTTGTTCCACCATGGAATGGGAGTCATCTTCTTTGGAAACCAGGTGTGATGGAACCAAAGCCAGGTAGTAAGTGTAATGTACCAGCACTCTTTATAGATCCTGATGTTTTGTTGCTTGTCCTTACTATTGGCTGAAGGTCCTTTGCAGTGTTAGCCATGCCCCACTACCCTACATATCCTATCCCTCCAAGGGCCACACACTGTCACTTACCTGTGATCATAGCAGACATTTTAGTTGGATGTCCTGGTCACACATACACTGAAATCAGGAAACATTCCTGGGAGTGCTCCCTGGCCTCCACTATGTGTGCCATGCTGGGGTTTGGAGATGTTTATTCCCCAGGGGTTCATGTGTTAGAAGACTGGTAAACATGAAAGTATTGGGAGGTGGGGCCCATTGGGAGGTGGCTGGGTGGCTGGGTTGTGGCCTCAGAAGGGATCACGCATTCTCAAGGACTCCAGTCAGTTCCCCATTTCTGTGTCTAGATTCCTGTCTCACCATGTGATCTATCCTTCTCACATGCCCTGTCACTATGATGCCACCTGCCCTGAGAAATGGGGCCCTACTAGAGCCAACACCATGCTGTTTAGACTGTTAACTTGCAGAACTGTGAGCTAACTAAATCTCTTTCTTTTAAAAGGTACCGAGGCTGGATCATTTTGTTATAGCAACAGAAAACAGACTAATACACACAACGGTCTAGCAAGCAAAGATTGCTCCAGGCACTAGGAGAATGAAGGTTTTAGTGAGAAATCTGTCTCATCAGGCCTGCACAGAGATAAGCCACATTCAGAGAACAGATGCTAAGCTATGGGTACCCAGAGTTTTGGTACCCAGCTGGATGGCCAGCCATCACTGAGACTGTTCCCAAAACTTACCCACTGCATCAGTAGCTGGAGAGAACAGAAACGGATACTGGCCTGGGAGCCATAGAGCCCTCACCATACCCCGGAGCAGAGATACCAGGGGCTCCTGGCACTATTCAGAAAGCTCTCTAGACTAGAGGACCTGGGTGGGTACAAAGGCAGGGGAAGCCCAGCAAAGTGGGAAGAACTGAGAATGTATGGCTGTGAAGGACAGGAAGGGCTTGTCCACCCCAGGTTTTGGTGGCTCAGGTGATCTGTGCCAGACAAGCAACCCTCAGTTGTTTAAAGGCCACTTACTCCAGGTCACAAAAGCACAAATAGAACCTGGGCCTATTTATCTGAGGTGCCTCCAGTAGTTACAGGTGCAAGCAGGAAATAAAATGGCAGCCATCAGGGCTGGGCAAAGGTGGAACGCGGATTAGGTACCGCATGGGGCACAGCCACAGCTCAGGAAGGTGGAAAGGGTTCTGCAGCTGCACAGTAGTGACAGTTGTACAAGGTGGTGGATGGAATTATACTGAGTGGATGGGTACTCAGTCTTAGCTACTTCTACCTTTGGAACAACATAGTGCTATAAAGTGCTGCTAGTTTGGATGATAGAGGAAAATGGCCACAGATTCTTTTGCGCTCCTTCATGGAGAGGTAGAGGCTATTTCTGCTCACTTTGCATCTGTGCCAACCTGGGACAAATTCAACCAAGAGTGTGGCCAAATTGACACATGATAGCTCCGAGCCTAGACTTTGAGAGGATTCACAGCCTCTCCCCTCTCCCTGGGCTCTCAAAACCAGAGCTGCCCTGTGGAGCCTTGTTGGATAGAAGACCTATGCTGCTCTCCACCCAAGCCTCCTACACCAAATGACTGGACACAGGAGGACAGGTGTCTCAAACCTTCCAAACCTATCTAGCACCTAGCACTCCCTGAGGACCATCATGATCCTGGCCTATACCACACAAAGCAGAAGAAGACCTCAACAAAGCTCTGCCTCATATTTTTAGCCAAGATCATTGTGAAGTGCAATAATGAATTGGTTGGTGTTTGTTTTGGTTTGGATCTGAAATGGCCCCCAAAATTTTACCCACCGAGGTATTGATACCTAATATAGCAAGACACAGAGATGGGGCCTAGAGAGATGGTTGGATCAAGAGGGTGCTGACCTTACCAACAGATTAGACCATTGATGAGTTCACAACTGAATGGGCCATTAGGATATGGGGCACATTGGAGGAAGTAGGTCACTGGGGACATGCTCTGGAAAGGCACATCTTGTCTGCAGCCAGTCTCATTTCCTCACTCTCTGCTTCCCAACTGCCATGAGGTTAGCAGCCTTCCTCTGCCATGCCCTTCCACCATGACATGCTGCCTCACCACAACCCAGAAACAATGGAGCCAGATGAGCATGGACTGAACTTTCTGAAACTGTGAGAAAAAATGAACCTTTCCTTCTTTAAGTTGTCTAAGGTATTTTGTCCCAGTAACAAAAAGCTGACTGTGATAGTTTAGATGTGGATGTCACTTTTAATACTTATGGTGAGCCTTTTGGGAGATGATTAGATCAAATACTGATTGGTCCACTGATGAGTTTATAGTTAAATGTGCTATTAGGCAGTATGGCCTGGTTGAAAGATGCAGGTCACTGGGGACATGGCCTGGAAGGGTTTAGCTCCCTTCCCTACTCTTCCCTTTATGTTCTCTTCTTCCTGACCGCCATGAGGGGACCAACTCTCCTCTCCCACATCCTTCTGCCATGCCTTCCTGCCTTGGAGCCCCCTGAATATGGACTGAACCTTGAACCTAATTAAACCTCTCCTCCTTTAAATTGTGGGTTATCGAGTATTGTGTCCCAGTGACAAGGAGAGTGACTAAGACACTAACACGTTGTTTTATGCCATTATACACTTTAGGGTACAGCAATAGATGCACAGTTTTTGTTCCCTGTGATTGATCAATTTTCAGTGCATTGGGATATACATTTGCATTAACAGAATTTGGGTAATAACTTCCTAAGAATTACTCTCACAGTAGGTATAATACAGATGCACACACATACAGAATTTCAGTTCAAATGAATCATGAATACCCTATTAATGAAGCAAATGTACAACTGATCCCAGAAAATAGCTCCTGCAACAGCAACCCTCACTGGCTATGTGCTGCCTGGGAATCTGGGCTATTTATATAACTTGAAATGTGAGTGTAATCCAAGTCCCCAGCTATTTTTAAATCTAGGGATCATTGTTTTACAATAGAAAGTTGCATTTATAAGCTTGCTACTTTCACTTGCAGGTTTGAAGGAAAGGCTACCCACCAAGAAGAAAGCAAGCATAGATTCAAGGCAGAAGTTTGTTTGAGTGTGTTTGTGGCCTGGCCCCTCAGTTTTCCCTCCTGTAAAGTGGGGAGAATGGTGAAAATACTTCACAGGTGTTATGGCTTGTGTCTAGATGTCCCCTCAAAGCTTCATGTGGTCATAGCAGGGACTTTTTCAGAGGTGGCTGGATCAAGAATGTGTGATGCTGAGGTTGAGAATACCTGATTACTAAATTAGTCGATTGATTGGTTTAGCACCTGCCCTAATTGGGTAGTCTAGATAGAATATAAAAGATAGAATAGAAAGAAGCTGCTACTGTCACTTGTGGCTTGCTTGCTTTGCTGCCTTCTACTTGCCATGAACAGTTTCTCCTCTTCAGTGCTCCTCTGCCATGCCACTCTGCCTCAGAACCAGCCAATTATGGACTGAAACCTGTACAAACAGTGAGCTAAATAAACCTTTCCTCTCTTAAATTTGGATTTCAAGTATTTTGTCTCAGAAACAAGAAAAAGTAAGTAGGTCAACAGGGATTTGCAAGTAAAGTTAGTTGATATGTATAGGTGCTTAGAACAGTACCTAGCTTATGAGAAGTCCAAATGGGATTAATGCAACATGTTCACTTTGTTCTCTTCCTTATTTCCATTTTATTACCATCTAGGTATTTCTCTATCAGTAGGAAAGAGTGAAATGGTAGGTGGGTGAGGTTTTGCCCTACATGGGCCCAATCCAGCCATGGCCAGCCTTCTGTAATCTCTGGACTTGGTTACTAGTGATTCAATGAATACTACTTTCCTTAGGCATCTGATATCCTTTAAACAGCTGCTTCAGGTGTTGATAGCCCAGCACACCAGGCACTCAGAGAACAGAGGAAACCCACCTGCCTCCAATCCCTTCTACCCTGGTCTCCTTGGTGCCATTCATGCTGAAGTTCTCCAGCGACTCACCCAGCAGGCTTCCTGTGGCATCCTGAACCCTGGGTGCAAACAGCTTCTTTTCTGAGCCGGACAGTCTCTCAATCCAGGTGAGAGGCTTTGACTGGGCCTGTTGGACAGGACTCAAACTGGCTGATTGCACGAGCTTTCCCTTTTCTGCAGTGGAGGTAAAACAGATGAAGACAGATACTCATAAAGTGATGCTGTTTCCACAGCTCTAGTGCATCCTCCCCACACCTCCCTTTCCTGCAGGCAGAGGCTGCTGCTTGCCTGTGATTAATGGGACTGTGATTAGTCCTGGGACACAAGTCCTCCTCATTAGCACTTGCTGCCCTCCCCTCCCCTTAGCTGACATACAGGAAGCCCAGGAGCTTGGTCCATGGGGAAAACCCAAAGTATTTCTGGGAATGCCAGCAGGCAGAAGCAGTAGTTTGGGTAAGATTAGCTGCCACTACTCTGTTCTGCTTTATCCCATACAGATCTGTCCCCCAAAATGGTCTTGTAACAAATGGGACTGCAAATAGCCAGGGCTCCCCAAATCAGGCTCTGCCCTGTGGACTATACCCCTTAACCCTTAATTTGTACACAGCTTAGTTTCCTCTGGTAATAATATCTCATGTAAGATCCCATCTCCTTGAACATGAATGTGTAGCAGCCATGCACAACCCTCACTCTGACACCTCCCTTTCTCCCTTCACACGGAAAGGCTGACTAAAGGATTGTGGTCATATCCTGAACTTGAGACCATGGGGTGAGGGACCCCCCCACACTTCACTATTCATAGCATTCATAAAAACTGGGATTTGATTAATAGGTCTCTTGAGTTAATGAGGCTTTGCATATAGCCAATTTTTTTTTTTTTTTGAGAAAGGAAAATTTAACCACAGACCATCTGTTCCATGCTAAGAGCAGGAAGAAAAGACCAGCACAATGGGGCCTACATGCTCCAGTTTTCTCTGTGTGTATGCATGTGTGTGGGGTCTACGCTTGTGTGTTGATAGGATGTGGGGCATACAGGGTGTGTATGAGGTATATGTGATGTCAGGATGATGTGTGTGTATATGGTATTTATGTATGTGTGCATGTGTATGTGATGTGTGTAATAAGGTGCATGTGGTATGGGAGGGTATTTGTGTGTTTATGGTGCATGTGCGATGTCTCTCTGCATATATGTATGTGTGGGTAGGTGTAGGGTATGTATATGTGGTATGTGTGATGTGGGGATATGTATGTGGGGGGTGCGTGATATGCATGTATGGATGTGCACTGTCACCCCTAGGTGACATGGCACCCCTTGACAGATATCAGTGGGCACTGGTCCTTCAGGCAGCCCCTCTCCACTTTGTTGGAATCTGGTTCATTGTCAGGGCTGTACCCACTGAAAATGCCAGGCTTGGGAATCAACAACTGGAGGACTTTCTGAGATTACAATAGGCAAGAATGGATGGAGGGGTGTGGGTGATGGGAACAGGGGCTACAGTGTGTTCACAAACTACAGAGAATCTCACTCCAGAGCTTGAGCCATTCATGGTGATATGACATCACATGGTGACATCAGTGTCAGTGGTACCAAGCCCTGACGGAGAGCGTGCCTATGATGGGCACAGTGTGAGCAGGTATACTTTTCCTCTCCATGGTGGGCACTATACCTACCTTACAGAGAAGGAAACCTGAGGCTCAAAGAGCTGACAACTTGCTCCTGGCCTCAAGGGCAGGAAGTGGTACAGCAGGATTCCCACTCCAGTCTATAAATGCCACAGTCCATGCTGGACAAGGTGTCAGGCATGCCAGGGTGAAACCAGCATCATGGCAGGTGTTCCTAGCCTTCTGATCACCAGTCCTGAAGAAACTAAGACCATGGGCTTTGTCATGGTGCATGTTAACACCCCCAGCGAGGAGGGACCATGGAGGTCAGGTCTGAGCTCGGAGAGGATTTCAAAGGCTTGAAGCAAGGGTAGGGGAGCCAAGAGCTGATGATCTTTCAGGGATGGGAGGAAGGGTAGCCAAGAGTGTGTCAAAGTCAGTGGCACTCTGAGGAGCATGGGCAGCTCATGTTCCCTGGCGTGGGTGACTCACAGCAGAGCTATGGCACCCAGGAAGCAACTGAGGAATGCCAAGGGCTCAGGTCCAGGTTAGTTGCAGTGCTCCAGGCACATGAGAGACACCCATGACATAAGGAAATGGGCACTGAGGTGGGATCTTGGGCAGCCACCAAGGCCCTGGGAGACCCAGAGCTTGCCTGAGGCTGGGGCCACATGCTCACAGCACTGACAGGTCCTGCAGGAATCAGTTCCCAAGTGAGGCCCTTGAAAACTCACAAGTACTCTTTCTCCCCCAGGGAACAAATGCAACTGTAGAGTAACAAGCTGTTGAGACCATTTGCAGAAGAATGGCTAAGAAAAGTTTGAAAAACATTCAACCCCCCATGGACTCTCTTTCAAATGCAGATTCAAACCCAGTATGTCTGGAGTAGGGTCTGGGATTCTGCATTCTTAGTGAGCACCCAGCGACACATACTCCACAGACCCAGCGCTGAAGATGCAGAGAACTGTGTTTTATTCTTCCCTTTCATGACAGAGGAAGACACAATGCTCAGAGATCCGCAGCACTTGTGATAAAGCTAGTGCTCAAAGCCAAGTCTCTCTAAGTCAAGCATCCATGCTCTGGCAAATTATGAAAAGCCACAGCACAGGGGGTGGAGTAGGCAGGCTGGAGGCTCAGCCCCACAGTCAAGATGCTGCCACAGTCCAAACTCCCCAGATTCCCTCTTGCTCCTCCCAGTAACACTGCTTCCTGCCTCATCGGGCTGCTGGACGGCTGCAATTTGAGAAAACAGTATATTTTGAAAACAAAGGAGATCATTCATGTCAGTACTTAGCCAGGGGAAATAGTAATAACGAGAGTAAATAGCTCCCTGGTGTTTCCCGCGTGCTCCATAAATATTAAGAGTCTTACGCATGGCCATGTTTTAACCAATCGTCTCTTTCCTAATTAGGCCCGCGATGCATGTCCGTTGCTGAAAGCTTAATAAATACTGAGAAATGTAAAAAAGACAAGACAAGCAGGCTTGCAGGCTTACTCCCAAAGAAAATGAGGAGTGGTATTTCAGTGTTGTTCATTTCTGTGTTCTTTCTGTCTGGTTTATAATAAGCTACAGTAGCTTGTTATAGTAACCTAGCACGTTATAGTGACCAAGTGTACCCATGCAACCCAATACAACTAGCACAAGTGGCCATTTGGATTTAAAGGAGGATCAACTTGAATCATTTGTGGGAGAATGGAAGCATCTTGAGACTATAATGTTAAATAAAAAAACCTCACACACACAAGCTCACATACCACATGGTTTCTCTTGTATGAGAAACCCCAAGTATAAATTAAAGAGCAAAATAAAGGACAGATAATAGGAAACAGGGAGATGGATTTTTTTCAAAGGGGAAGGAGGACCAAGGAATGAAGGGAAGCGGGAAGGAGAGAAGGGGAAGGAGAAGTAAGAAGCATTAAGGAGTTTTGTGGGGAGTGCATGTACCAACTTCCCGCAAAGCATGTAATCATTATGTACTGCAAACATGTGCTAATAAAATAAAATGCAACAATTATAAATCACTAAAAGACAAATAAAATTAAAGATTTAAGTCCTCGGTTGTTCTTGCCACCAGGACAGTAGGTAAATGGTGCTGGTGACTCCCCAGAACCAAAGAGTGTGGGTGTTTCTGTCAGGAAGAACATTCCACTGGACTGTGCTCCATCCCACATGGACCCTGCTTCCTCTCACTTAGCGTTCTCTGGTGCACAGTTTTACCTGTCATCATTCTCCAAAATCTACTTTCACTGCCAGATATAGTTGTTCTACGATGTGGGTATCTAGTCTTTCATTAGAGGAATTTAGATTGCCTCCAAATGTTCCCTGCTATAAATAATTCTTCAGTAAACACCCATGAACAACTTTTCACACGCCTACGTTTATTACTGTGGAGTAAATATCTGTCTACAAGTAAAATGATGGGGCCAAAACAACACAAACTTTTTAAAGGCTTTTGATATATACTCCCAATCACACTCGGGGAATATTCTATCATTTTGCCACCAATACTGATTTTAATGGTGCTTGTCAGTCTGAGAAAAAATATACTTCCTGTTTATCGTAGCCCTGTCATTATTGGGGAGATTTAAGATTTTGTAAAGGCTTCTGGGTCAGTGGTATCTGTTCATACAAATGATTATGTGAAATACTGAACGTTCCTAAGTACTTGTTGAGCATAGAGCAGGTGTTCACCAGTCAGGAGGCAGGGAGGCTGCCCAGAGCCCGTCTGCGCGTGGAAGCCATGCTGGGCAGAGCAGAGGCCCAGTAAATACGTGCAGGTCTTGGCTGAATCCGTGGCAAACGTGTGCTTTTTCCCAGTGATGCTGCTGGTGACAGAGAATTTCTTTGGCTGAGGAGGCAAACACAGATGTTGATACATCGCCCATGCTCACCTGTCCACTGCAGCACACGAGTGCAGAGAGTACTGGCACTCGAACACTTGGGCAGGGTGCACTACTACGCTTCACACAGGCTTGAAGTTTCTATATTAACTTCATTCAGTATTCAAAATTTTTATATAACTAAGTCGCTTTTTAAACCTAATAACTATAACAAATGTGAAGACGAAGAATCATTCACACACACACACAGAAAAGTTTCTTTGAAACTCTCAATAGAATGCTTCTTGTAGACACCAGCTCTCTGAGAAACTAAGGCCAAACAGTGGTATAACCATGCTATTTCTTGGCAAAAAGTTAAAAACAGAGCTAGGCATGGTGGCGCACGCCTATAATCCCAGCACTCCAGAGGCTGAGACAGGGCCTTTCCATGAGATCAAGCCCAGCCTGGGCTACCCAGTGAGTTCAAGACTGGTCTCAACTGCATGGTGAGACCCCATATTCAAATAAATAAAGCTAGCTGAAAACGGTCCTCATGGTGGTATTGATTTCTACTCAGAGCCACTAGAATAACATCTTTTAATGGGAAACTCACATCTGCAGGCAAACTTCCTCACAGCAGGCTGCTCTATGAATGAGATGAGGCAAAACTCCATACTCAGGGCTCTCAGCACATGCACGAAAGCCTCTCCTGTGCCCCTGTGGCTGCGGCATAGTCATTCCCGGAGCTTCTGTAGAGCCATGAACCACCACTTTACCACTTTCAGTAGCTCACCCCCAGCAGTTTTCCTACTGTTGTCTGTCTGTTTTGCTGCATCTCTGCAGAACAGCAATGTTCTTCCAGGCAGAGGCAGATTTGCCCGGAGATCATGAAGCAGCCCTTTCCTGGGAGGCCTGGCAATGTGTTCCCGTGTTCTTGTGAGATGTGGGAAAGGAGATGCATCCACCACCATCCAGAGAGCCTGCTGGCTTACTTTCCCCTCCTTTCCCCCTGCCAGAGTTTGGATCACAAATGTCCACCAGAGGCCCGTGTGTCGAAGGTTTAGCCTCCCAGGGTGGCACTACTTAGAGTAGTAGAGCCTGTGGGTAGCTAGAGGGAGGTCCATGGGTCTGCAGGGTGTGGTGCCAAGGAGACCATGGGACCCAGAACTCTGTCTCTTCCTCTCTTTGCTCCCTATCCATGACATGAGTGGCTTTACTCTTTCATATCCCCTACCCTTCTGTGCTGCTTTACCGTAGGTTCAAGGCCAGGAGACCAGTTGATCTTAAACTGGACCTCCAAAACTGTGAGCCCAAACAAGCCTTTTCTTTGTACAAATTAATTATCTCAGGCATCTTGTCATGGTAGTGGAAACCCTCCTAACACAGTTTTTTCTGCTTCATAGCCACAGACCAGTTAGTGCTGGGTGGTATGGGAGCAGATCACTGCAAGGAGAGGGTTGAGATGGGACTGCATTCAATTTAGGTTTAGGATTTATCTGTGTGTCACATAGTCTCTTTTGCAATGGCTGCTTTGTTGCCAGACATCACACCTCTTCCTTTGGGCCATTTCACCCAGATTCAGGGCCAGCAGCCACATTAAACTGACTGTGCCCTGCAGTAACCAGCCCCTAAAGGACCTTGAGCTATAAAGAGCTGGTAGCTGTCTGAAGGAAATTTCTGCAATCATCAGACATGAAAACTGTCATTTAGTTCCCAAAAGCACCCAATCAAATGAAATCTGTCCTATCAGGTATATGCTGTATAATTGGACACATCCCATTATTAATATACCACATAGTATTTTTCTTCTTTTTAATAGGAACCACACAAAATAAGTGTTAGATTTCTTGCATCTGGGGCTGGAGGTGTACCTCAGTGATAGAGCACTTGCCTACCATGTGTGAGGCATTGAATCTACCCCCAGAACTGTGCACACACACAAAACTTTTTAAAGATGTCCTCACCCCAGAGAAAATGGCCATCATCAAGTAATCAAATAACAAATGCTGGTGATGATGATACAGGGGAAAAAGAACACTTCTACTTTGTTGGTGGGAGTATAAACTGGTACAACCACTATGAAAATTAGTATGAAGATTCCTCAAAAAATTAGTTAGAAATTCCACTGGACCCAGCTATTCCCCTTGTAGGTATCTTCTTGAAAGGATTAAAAACATCATATTACAGGGATATATGCATACCCATGTTTATAGCAGCACAATTCGTAATAGCTGAATCTTAGAAGTGGCTTATAGTTCATCAACAGATAAGTGGATAAAGAAATTGAGGCATTAGGGGAATACATAGTGGAATACTACTCTGCCATAAAGAAAGATAAACTTGAATCATTTGTATAAAACTGGATGCACCTTGAGGCCACAATGTTAGGTAAAATAAATCAGACACACAAGCTTCAATATCACCTGGTTTCTTTTATATGAGAAAGCCAAATTATAAACAAAGAGCAAACTAGGTAATAGAAAGTAGAGGGATAGATCTCTCTTAAATGGGAAAGGGATCAAGAGAGGGAGGGAGGATGAAGGGAGGGGAGGAAGGGGTGAAAAGGGAATTAAGATGTATTCTGTGCATGTAACACCTCCCCACATAGAGTGAATATTATACACTGCAAACATGTACTAATGAAAAAGATGTCTTGCATTTGTAGCAAAGAAATCTGCAGCAGAACTACAAAGAGAAAGTGCATCACTATACAGAGCTGCATGTTTTATGCCTGCTCTCTATAATAAAACCAAATTTCAAGCAGCCACGCCAGAAGAAAGTTCTCCCCATAGAAAGTTATATTGCTGAAGTGTTTCCCATGAATACTCCCAAAGAATATGCTATCAAAAATTTGAAAAGGAAAAAAGTATAATAGACTTTGTTGGCAAGTTAATTCGAGAATCATATTCTGGCTGTGTGATAGGTACAGTGCTTGCTCAGCTTTTTAAAATCCTAAATTGTATTTTCTTTCTCATTCTGAATACACGTTCCCCTCCGTGTGGTAGTTTGTATTTATAACTTTGTATCCTTTTCGTTTGTTTGTTTTCTAGTACTGGAAATTGAACCCAGACCCTTCAGACTCAGCACCATCCCCCGCCCTTTTTATTTTTTATTTTTTAGACAGGGTCTTGCTAAGTCACTAAGCTGTCCAGGCTGAGCTAGAACTTGTCGTTCTCCTGCCTCTTCATAAACATGGTCCTGCATAACCTTTGTCTCCTCTGCTCACTGCATTTCTCTCCGGAGATTTTTAACCAAGAACAGTCACTGACATGGGTGGGTTCCTTGTACTGGAAGGAACACCTTTTGATTGAATAATCAAACCATACACCAGTGCTATAGACACTGGTGTACCACCTAGGAATCATATTGTTTGAAGATGGCATCTTCCCCTGTGCCCTGCGCCACTTCCATGCGGACTGGCAAGATGAAGAATCTGTGACTATTGGAAGCTTCTCGGGTTCAGCTGCTGATAAACAAGATTGAAACCAGCTTCCTGTGCTAATTCTCACAGAGTTCCCAATTTTGCGCCTGCAGAAGCATAAAAAAGTTCAAGTGGTTTTCTGTGGCCGCTGCCTGGTTGGTTGGTAGCAAGCAGCTGGTGACAAGACTCCATGGGATAGCAGTTCTGCAAGATAAGTCGTTCACACCAAGAAAGAAGACAAACATCAGGGGAGGGAAACCCTAACTGAGTAGTTTTTGAAAAGCAGTGCGTTTGCTTTGTGAACATGATTATTTCCCAGCTTTAATCAAGAGATTCTCCTTGGGGGTGGAGAAAATAAATATCTGTAAAAATTAAACCAAGTTATATGAAATGCACTTACTTAAAGGGACTGTTGAACTTTACAGTTTCAAAAATGTATATTTTTTTGAATTACTATTTAAGGTATCTGCATTTTTATAAATGTTTCAAAACAAATTACATTAAAATTTTGAATGGTGAAGCGTATAGTGAAGAAAATTAATAATGCAATAGGATTGAATTAATTACATATTCCAATTCTTCATATATCTTTTAATTGCAGTATTCAAATAATTAAAAGTCTGAAAATTCATGAACATAAATACTATTTGTTTCTAAACTTGGTAAAAGAAAATCTGGTAAAATGTCAGTTTCCTGATAATATACAGGCCACTTTAATGAACTCAAATTATGTTCATTTGTTATCTATTTTTAGATGTAACCTTTTTCTCTGAAGACAAATGAGAGTTTATTGTGAAATTCTATTACAAACATGCTTTAACAGTATGTTAATTTAAAAGGCCAGGATAGAACACATGAAAGAGACATTCAGAGAATGAATAAAAACAACTGTACTCTATTTTTGAAATTAAATCAGATGACAATAGAAACAGTGATCTAGTTAGTAGAAAAAAATTAAATAAGATAGAATTAAATAGAAGAAAAACTAAATTTTTCCACTGACCCCAAGTCAGAGAAGTTTGTCTTAAAATTATCACTGAATATGCACATGTACCAACTCCCCTGTTATGAATGTAATCATTGTGTGCTACAAACACAGACTAATAAAAATAAAAATTAAATAATCACTGAAATAACATTACTACTGACCTGGACAACCCACGGGACAGGAAGGGACGGAGCACCACCAGGGTAACAGTGCCAAATGGGTTGTAACTAAAACCAGGAGGTATCCTATTGCAAATGGTGTGCAAATACAATTTTGAAATGTTGTGTGTTTAATAGAGACCTTTTCTTTTAAAAGCTTTTAAACTCTCAATGGCCATCAACAGTACTCAGTGTCCCATAGCAACCTGTGGTCCTTGGGGGACAGACCAGATGCCTCGGCACACTAAGAACAAGGAAAATTCCAACACAAGGAAGATGTTTCCAAACCTTGCAGATGTGAATCCCCTGCAACCCACTCCCCACCTCCATCTCCCACCTCCAGCTTCACTCTCCACAGGGAAAGGTCCCCAACTTCCGGAAACTTGACCAAACAGAAAGCGTTGTCCTTTAGGCTGATGGCTGTTCATGGGAGTTTGTAAGGGCCTGGACAGGGAAAATAGGGAAAAAATTGCCTCCTGGATCCCTCTCCAAATCCTCCCGCAGTCTTCCAAATGCTCCCCAGTGCATCAAAACATAAGTTGAGTGATGGCTGCCAGGCTGTGGGCACACTTGTCTAGGAGACATTCACGGACTTGTCACTCTGTTAAACAGGCAGCTGATCACAGAAAAATGAAGCACAGGCCATTGATCAACTGAGCCACACTTACGTAGGTCGAAATCTTCCCAATTTCTCTCCATGGAAACCATAAAGTTGCAATTCTGCTATGGTTTTTCACTTCGTATACAATGACACCTTCGGCACAGACCCCCAAGGCCATCTCCCCTTCCAGCCTCTTCTTCTTTGGAAATACCCGGTGAACCAGAATGCCATACTCCAGGAGCTGCTGAGTGACCTGGAGCAAGAAAAAGGCCAAGTTAGGAGAGCTAGGCGAGGGCAACCCAATTTAAGATGATGGGCCCGCAACTACTGATCAAAGTCTGTTGCCACCAAAGAGGTTTAGGAAACACTTGGCTAAGCAAATTCTCTGAATGTGGAACAGATCCACATCTCTGACTTGCTAGTATTTTTCTTTCCTTTTTGTAACCCAGGAGTCCTTTATTTGCGACTTACCTAAAGCAAATAATTGGAACACAATTATTATGTGTATGATGCAGTAGAGTAATACTTTTCTAGACTTTTTTTTTTATTACTCAGACTTTCCTGGGACATCTAAGACATGGGATTCCTTTTCCTAGCTGTGTCACAGGCTACTGATCCAACTTCTTCCTGTTGCAGTTGGAGAGATGAGGCTCAGTCACAAAAAGTAACCTTCCAATTCACCCACTGCACTGTCCAAGCCAGCGGAGCTGTGAACTCTGCAAAGAAAATGGCCTATCGTGTTGGAGTTTCTTGCTGCGCACAGGCCTCAAGGGGCTCCCACTGCTCCAGGTTTGTCAACATTCAGCCAGAGCTGGAGACACAGTGGCCAGCTATATCCTTCAGGTTTGCAGCATAAACCTAACAAATGTTTTCGCATCTGAACGGCAGTCACATCTCCAGCCCAGACTCTTTCCTCTCTCCCTTCACCCGGAAGACTCCAGTCCTAATCAGAAGACAGATGCAGGTGGATCCACAGTGTGGATATCTTGCTCCAGGCACCTCCAACCCCTCTCAGAAGGGTTTTCTTGGTGAGATCTGGTTCTCCATCTCCTCTCACCAGCAAAGAGTGCACTTTCTGTTCAGTCTCTCCCACCCCCAGGCATGGTCACAAAATGGACAAATTACAGTTTTTGTCCATCTCTCTCAGGCTTGTTCTCCAGTTCTGTTAATAAATCATCTCTGCAAGGAGCTGGTGCTGCCTGCAGACCCTGTAGCTTAAACTTCTGGACACCGAGTCACTTCTTTTTAACTTAGGAAGCAGAGACACCCCAAAACAATTAGGTAAATTAACGAATTTGATTCGATATTTCCAAAAAAATTATTTTAAACCATTAATGTAATCTTCATGAGAACAAAGAGGATTTTGCCAGACTTTTTTACTTTTTAAAATTGCTTTGTATTAAGTTGTTTTATTTTTTAGGGTTTTGTTTTGTTTGTTTTTTTGTGGGATTTTTTTTTTTTTTTTTT